GGGGCAGGGGGGGGGGAGGGAGGAAGGGCGAGAGGGAGGGAGGGAGGGAGGGGGAAGACGGAGGAGGAGGATGAGGAGGAAGGAGAGGAGACCGGAAGAGAGGGCGGGAGGAAGGGAGGGAGACCAGAAGGGAGTGCGGGAGGGAGGAGGAGAAGGAGGAGGAGGAGGAGGAGGGAGGGGCCCCCGATCGCCCCCCTGCGGGCGCGGCGCAAATCGTCGCGCATGGGCGGATTGCGGAGACGCTCCAGAATCACGCCAAACAACTGCAAGGTGAGGAGGCCGCCTTGCTGTCAGGCTTGCCGGCGTGGCAGACTTGCAGTGGAAAAATAAGCCATCAAAAGGTGGTGACACTCCAATACCTCGACGACTCGGTCACCCCGTGCACGTCCGTGTCTTCAACTTCCGGGCGGGCAAATCCGCTTGCATGGTTATGGAAGGCATGCCGCGGTTCGACGAGGAAGGGATGGGCGGTGCAGGCAAAGAGGATTTTGGGCAGCACAACGTCGAGCTGTTTTTCCAGCCGCTTGTCGCGGACATCCGAGAGAAAGGGAGAGGAACCCTCGAGGAGCTGCACACGGCGGCGGAGGCATGCGGAACCGCATCACAGTGCTAGCTACGCAGGTCCCCCTCTGGGTGGAGCTGGGTTCCCTGTTCGGTACCGCGGTGCTTGCTGGGTTCTCAGGGATCGAGGCCACCCTTAATTAACGGTTTGCAGGGTAAGCGGGCGCGCGCTATCCGAGGCTGCCAGCGGGCCCCAGGTCTTAATTGCGCGTTGTGTTTTGCCCAGCTAGGTTGGGAGATGCGGCTTGGGACCTTAATGCTGGAGCTGGCCATTATGTCGCCCGCCGGGCTGCTGATCCTATCAGCGGCGAACCCAGCGACGGTAGTGAGGGAGGCGGCGATGCGGTCTCCCGCCTACTCGGTGTGGCAGCGGGCGGGGCAATTACTGACGTTGGGCCTGACTTTCGGCGAGCTCCAACAGGAGGTCTGGCGATAGACGGTGCAGAAGCTGCAGGCGGAGAGCGGTGGGATTGCGAGTTGCCGCAGGTGGGCAGCGTGACAGATGACAGGCACATGCCACTCCAGGTGTTGGGACTAGGTGAGGCCCCCCTGCAGCTGCCGCGGTGCCGAGCGTGCGGCGCCGATGCAGTGGACGTCCTGCACGCCCTGGCGGCGTGCGGGGGCTTTGCAGAGCTCAAGCTGGAGCTTGCGGCGCACGCCAGGGCCCCAGCGAGGGGAGACGGACGCATGCTGGTGGAGGCGTTGTTCTTGGCAGGGCAGGGTCCCAGGGCACGTTCGGTGCGTGGGCCCGGTAATGCGGACATGCGCTCCCGAGCACCTGCCGGGCTGGAGGGTGAATGACCCTTGCATACCGCGTTCCATTACTTTCCGCGTGCGAGCGCGGCGAGCGGGGGAGGCTGAACGCGGCGAAATAGGAAGCAGGAGTCAGTGGGTAGGGAGGGGGAAGTAATGGGAAGGAGGCGGAGGAGGAGAAGGAGGAGGAGAAAGAGGCGGGAGGGAGGGAGAGGGAATCAGGGGGAGAAGGAGGAGAAGGAGGAGGAGGAGGAGAAGGAGGATGAGAAGGAGGAGGAGGAGAAGGAGGAGGTAGGAGGAGGGGAAGGGGTAGGAGTAGGAAACTTTGGCGGTGCCAGTGACAGTCGATGCCCCCCGCTCCGAACACGAAGCCATGCGACACGTAGAAATACTTCACGACCAGACCTGCACCATTGGCGTTCACCGTTATTTCAGGCTCCTCGGCCCAAGGCGACACATGATTGGAGTCCCACACAACTGGCCCCAATACATTGAGACGCAAACCAATCAGGAAACAACATGCCCATATATGAAGAATGGCTCCGTGAACGGCTGGAAGGGAAACAAACGCGTCGCCCCAACATGATATGCGACGCGAAAAGTGACAACCAGCATGACTTGCACAGCACACGCTGGAACGCAAGCTGTAATTTCAGGTTTCATAATCACCGAGCATGAAGCTTTCCGGAGAGGGTGCAGGCCGACCCGAGTACACGAGGAATCTCTTATGACGCCGCTGGAAACCAGCGGCTGGGCGAGCGGTTGCACAGGTTCCACCCACGCCTTACTGTCGAGCCACTAGCCACACACCAAAGGCGCCAAGTTGCTTCACGACAGCCGCCCTCGCCAGGTCCCGCAGGGAATGTGAGATCCGCAGCCTGCACCATGACCCAGCGTTCGTAGCGCACCTCCTCAAGTGCCACACCGAGCTTGAGCGAGAGGAAAGCTTGAAATACAGACTTGCGAAGGAAGGGATGCAGTGACCAAACAAATCTGATTGCCTACCAAACAACATGAATCCGCCCCGAACTGCAGCTCCAGAGTTGAAGCACGCCCCAGCACGCCCAGCTCCAGAGTTGAAGAGCGCAGCCCAGGTTGGGCACAGCCCGCAGGAACCTCCACCTGCCTGGGACGGACGCCGCCAGAAGGAAACAACCCAAGTACGTGGATACAACATTTCTCACTGCAGCCCCAAAGTTGAAGCACGCCCAGGTGTGAAGGGTTCTGCTGGGCACAGCCCGCTGGGACCTCCAGCTGGGACGGACGCCGCCCTCAGAGAACCAGAGGAAGCCATGGCCCAGTCAGCACCAGTTGCTGATGAGAAACGGCCTAACTCACACGTGTTACGGACCGCTCGTCCCGACCTTGGTCGACTGGAGTATGATAACACGGGCGCCAACTACAACAGTGGCAAGCACGCCGCGACAAGGCGCCGGAGCGCGCGGCGTCGAACGATCTGACGCCGTCCATCCGCTCCTCTGGTTCACGCTGCGGCGCAGCATGGCTGCGGTGATATGCAGTGCCCGATGCTGGAAGTATCATGTTGCTGGCTCGTGCCGAGCCACTAAAAACACAAGGGCAGTGCACACTGCCAGGAGCAAGCAGTAACCAGGGATGACTGAGCAGGGTCGGTTACTCGCCAGCCTGATCCACGCCACACTGGTCCCACCCTCCCAACCACCCCCCTCGGTGCTGCATGCGTGCACTTGCATGCGCCTGGCACAGGAGAGCGCTGCGCAGGACTGCTCGTGAAGAAAGGGTGCGGAGACAGAGAGGATTGGAGGCCGGGGAGCCATGGGGGAGGAGCGAGAGCACTCCCACGGCGACCCCGTGGGAGCGCTGGTCGCCGAAGGCACCCTTCGTGTTTTGTTTGTGCATTTCGGCATGAGGTGCCTGTCGTGCCGTGGACGGAGCAGCTTCAACTTTTCAATTGAGAAGCTATGCAGAATCTTGACACTAAACTTTATATGGCATTCGGACTGATGTCCAACTATGGCACGCTGACTATAGCCCGTCCGGCCTGCGAGCCACAGCCCCTGACCCAGGCCGAAGGAAAAAAAGCCTCTGATGGCTGCGCCCGACCGCCTTCGCGGGCGGGCGCGCGCAAGGCGGCGGTCCTGCAGCGCAGAGAGGAGACAAGAAGAAAGGGAAAGGAGGAGGCGGAGGAGGAGGAGGAGGAGGAGGAGGAGGCGGAGGAGGAGGAGGAGGAGGAGGATAATAAGATAAGACCGCCCTTGACGCCAAGTGTCTCTCTGCCTCAAAATCAAGGCGTCGGCGAGGCACACTAATAGTGCCAACTGGATGATGGCAGCAGGCGCACTGCTCGGGGAGGCCCGAGACTGGCCTGCAAGCGCCACGGCTTGTGGATGGCCACCCGTGGGCCTGATGGCACAAGCCGCTAGTCACACAGAGCTTCTCCCACCCCCCCACCTCCCCGCCGTACCCCGACCCTTCCCTTTCTCATGAATACTCGGTGGCCTAAATCGGCCTTCCCGAGCACGCAGAAAAGAGAGTGCAGCACCTGGAGAGATCACTCCTCTTAAAAGCAGGTCCGCCATGCGAACAGAAAAAATTTCGAGGCGCCTAGCCAGGCGCCTAAGTTCACTCTCCTCAGACCCTATACGTTCTCTCCTCGAACTCCTCAGCTCATGTTGTTCAGCTCGTCTAACAGCTTGGATGCCTCCCTCTCCAGCGGCCCGCGCGGGGGCGGGCCTATCTTCAACACCCCGTTCTCTTTCTTGATGGCTGATACCACCGCCACCTCCAGGTCTTTCCACTGACTCGAAAAACAAATCGTGATCCTCATCATGTCCTTGGCATTCTCCTTCTTGCGGGTGTCTCGGATCCTGCAGTGGCGGATCTGCTCCGCCAACGCGAACAGCTCCTCCTTCAGTACTTTGTTGGCCCAGAACTCTGCGATCATCTCGCGATGCTGGGCAGTGAGACCCGTCACCTCGTGCGCCGCCTGCAGCAGCGCCTTGAAGACGTGCAGGAACGGTGGCCCTAGGATATCGTGGCCTCCTCCGCCTCCTGTCTTCAGCAGCTTGGCCTGGGCATGATAATCTTGGCCCGCCTTCTTCATGGCGACAGCGATGCTTGCGTCTGACGGGATGAGGAAGGTGAAATAGACCGCCGCAATCAAGTCTCGCAGCTCCGCGGCTTGAGTGAGGGCGAGGGCGGCAAGCACTTTCATCATTCGCTCCAGCACCGCCTGTTTGGAACCTCCGCCGCCCGCCTCGCTCCCGATCTGCGTGAGCAGCTTCTTTCTGTCTGCTCCTCCCTGCGAGTCGGCACTTCGCTTGAGAGCCCACTTCGGATCCTCGAGCGGCATGAGTATGCGCTGGTGCGTGTTCAACAATGTGTCGATGCAGATCGGCTAGAGTTTGAGCCGAATACTCACATAACGGACAATCCAATGACTTAGGTTCAATAACAGCACCCAGATATCTACATCTTGACACCCGATCAGGATAAGCCCGCTTTGCAATAACATGTCTGTACGCCGCTTGATGACTCGAAAAAATCTCAGCGCAATATGGGCATTGATTAGTCACCACAATCGATGCATACACATCCGTTCTATGATGTACACGCTGTATGTGTGTGGATAATGCTCGACTCGACTCGAACGCCGCAGGACAACATACACCATTATCTTCAAAAAAGCACTTCCACAGCCCATCTCCCCCCTCTCGTCGACTATGCTTCCCAAGACCTCCCTCCTTGTACGGTTTTTTCACATCCTGGGCCCGAAGGAGGCCCACATCCACCTTCACAAAATCTTTCCGTACCTCAGTTTCACAAAATATGTCCACTATGTAGTCCCCCATCTCCGAGAGAAACCATTCTGCATCCTCCACCGTACTCAGGGTCTTGACATCCTCCAGTACACGCACCGCCCACGGATTCGCCGTCGTACTCAAGAGCCCGAATTCGTCCATAGTAGCCCCACCCTCCCAATTCATTTTTCCGAAGTGTGCAGCAAGCCACTGTCGGTGTCTCTCAGGACGTCGTGCGATCGCCTGCAGTCTCTTCAGGCGCCGCACTCGCAGCTCTACCTCCAGCGAACACAAGCGCCAGTACTTACGTACACGTTCGTTAGACCATGCTCTATGCACTCCCTCTTGTTCTGTATGAGCTCCTCCTCTCATTGCCTTACGCGCCAGTTGATCTAGAACGTTCTGTAATTCAGCTAGTTGCCTATCCGACGGGATATACGCCTCCATGTTCTGTGCTGCCGTGCCTATTATAAAAGACAAAAACATCGATCGCTTCAGACGATACGGTACACCCTTCAGGAACCAAAAACTCCCTAGAGAATAAAAAGCTTTATATATAGCCGCTTTTCGGGCCCTCAGCTCCGGAGCAAAAGACTGCGCCAATCTGGGGTCAGCAACAAATTGCCCTCCTAAATACCTAATCTGGTGGCATATTGTGCCAGAAGTCTTCAACCTACCCATGCGCATATCTCTCAAGTCCAGATGGGACCCAGGGCCAGACAAATTAACTAGACAGGTCTGCTTCTTAGTATTCTGAGCACAGTTACTATCTGCTAAAGCCTGCGTCAGCAAGTCTGACGCCTCCTGAACTCTTGCTAGCAAAGGGGCCGCTCTTTCGCCAGCCCTTCCAAGGTGAGAAAGCTCAAGGTCATCAGCATACTGGCATAAAGTGAGATCGATTGGCTCTGGGTCGCACGGGCTAGACGCCACCAAGCTCGTGTCCGTCACACCAGCTGCGGCCATCAGCTCGCGCCATATTCTTACCACTGGTTGGAAAGCCCTCACCCACGCCGCCACCATGAACGGGTCCCCCATCATCCCTCCACATCCAGGCCGCAAAAGCACGGACCCGAATTCACACGGAACAGAAATGGTGGCCCTCTCCACCCTCTGCAGCCCCATCGGGACCGCTTGCCAGTCAAAAAGCGAAACCACAGCAGCTTTTAAACGTCTTTGTGCTATACTTCCAAAAGCGTTAGTTGCATCAAAATACTGTCTGCAAAAAGACCTATTCTCTCGCTGCGCTCTCCATGCCAGGATCGATGAGACCAACATGGGTGTCTCCTTGCTTCTGCCAGGCTGGTATCCATGCACATCTGGATCCATATTCTCTCTGTACATGATAGCCGAGTACCACACTTTACCGAACGAAGGCAACATATGGACCCACCGCTTCCCCGCAGGTCCCTCGGCCTCAGACTTCCTCAGGCCTCCAGCCTGACTACAGTGCCAGAATCTAGGTGTGCTCTGTGCTGTGCGTATGCGCCACATGCCTAGATGAACAGCTTTTGTAAATAGTACCGTGGGGCGGGACGGGTCAGGAGCTCCAACTCCAGCGACCTGCTTTTTTGACGGGATGCCCGCTCCAGGATTCAAAGCCATGTCCCACAGCTCCACTGGCGACGACCATTGCGGGGTCACCCTACGCTTCTGGACCCTACGCAGCTGCTTACGCACTCTCTTCATGTCTTCACCCGCCTGCTCAAAAAAATGCACGTCATACGGGACCGCAGAGCAGACCGGTGGCAATCCTTCCCACTCCCCCACCTCGCGAGCCGCCATCCCCCCCTCAGGTCCAGGCAAAGCCCAAAAATCTAACTGCTCCTTCCGCGTGGGCAGGGCGGTCCTGATCTCTAAAAACTTCCGCTTTTTTGGTCCCATGCGGACACCCGCTGCAGCCCTCGCATGAAAAAAAGCACGATGGATGTTGCGCACTCTCCATGACTCTCTCATGGCCTCCATGTGCTCTTCCTGCTTCAGTTTCAAAGCAGCTTTTGCTAGTCCTCTCAACTGCTTAGTCAAGAGACGGAGCCTATCCGAAATCTCATTCACCTGCTCCGCTGGAGCCCCACCAAGAGTCATTCGGAGCTCTCTTCTACGCACAAGCAGCTGCGAACGCTCTCTCTCATAGTTCGCTCTACCTGCAACACTCTGTGAGGCTCTTGAAAAGAGAGGTGCCGCTGTCTCATACAGCACCTTCTCTAGGAATTGAAACAAGTGATCTGGCTGCGGCTGAGCGGCCAGAAGGGTCCACTCAGCCTGTAGGAGGAGGCGGAGGAGGAGGGGGAGGAGGAGGAGGAGGAGGAGGAGGAGGAGGAGGAGGAGGAGGAGGAGGAGGAGGAGGAAGCTCGGGAGGGCGGGAGGAGCCAGCGCCCCTCCACGGCGCCCCCGTGGGGCGTCGGCCGCCGCAGGCACCCGGACCTCTTCGACGTGGCCATCACCAGCGTCGACGACGAGCTGCTGGCCCCCGCCGCCCCGCCGCCGCGCGTGGCGGCCGCCCCTCGGCCCCTGCCCGGCCGCGGGGCCGCCCCGGGCCCCGCCTCGTGCGCCGGCCGGGTGGGGAAGCCGCTCGGGGGGTCGCACGGTCAAGACGTACGGTAGGTTTGCGTCGTGTCGACCAGCGGCGACCCCAGCGCGGGCGTTCAAGGTTGAACGCCGCCGGCGATCCAGAATCGATCGATGTGGAACGATCGGACGCTGCGGCAGCGGCCGATCGTTCAAGGTTGAACGATCCCTGCGGTGCCAAAAACCAAGGCTGGGGTCGGCACGACACGAACCTGCCGTACCGACGTGGGGCTGCTACTGATCATTTTTCAACGCTGCTGCTGAATGCAGTAAACTAACACGCGGCACCGCATACGTTTCCATGTGTTGAGTAGCCATGTCTTTTAGTGCGTCTCACCACCCACCAAACCACGCCAACCCAACCCGAAGCCCTCAATCTGCCCTCCACTTCCAGTGCGGGGGGGGTCGGGGAACGTTGAAAAAACACGCATGGAACCCGTACCCCACCCCCCAACCCGAAATTGGGGTCAAGTTCGGGTCTTTGGGTTGGGTTGGGGTGGTCTGGTAGGTAGTCACTCGGGGGGTCGCACGGTCAAGACGCACCGACGTCGCTCGTCCGTTGCGGCGCAGCGGCGCGTCGTGGATGCAGCCGCCGCGCTCTCGCGTGCGCGCCCGCTGCTCCGTTGACAACGCCAGGCTTGTCGCCGTCGTGCGCGGGCGTTCTGGCCGCACCGGGCCGCTGGGCGCGCGCAGGCAAGACGCTGAAATAAGGAGCAGCTTGGGTTCGGAAAGATCGGGCCGGACGAAAGGGGGGGATTGGGAAAGGGGGGGTTACGGAATTTGCTGCATGCAGCTGGTTTCGGCCCCACGGAGGGGCCCATTCCTCGAGACATAGCCGCCTCCGACGCCGGGAGGCGCCGGGAAAATCAGCTACGTGAGCTGATTCTCAACCCCCCCTTTGCTATCCCCCCCTCTCGCCCGACCCGAAAAGAGCTCGATGTTCATCAGATCTTGCCATGGCTGATCCTTCAGTCCCCCTCGTGAGCGAAGGCGTCTCTGGGGTCAGAGAAAAAGGGGCGTCTTTCCGTGTTTAGGGTTCCTTATTTCAGTGGCCCGACTGTAGAGGGGGGGCTATCCCAAGGTGAGCGACGCGAGAGAAAGGGTCCTCTGCGCCGACATCGGCGCGTAAGCTGCCCGCGTAAGCTCGCGCGTGAGCGCCCTCGTCTCCACTGTGGCGGGCCGCGATGGTGGCCCGCGTAAGCCACCGCGTCAGACCCGTTTTTGATTGTCGGGGTTGCGGTATTGTCGGGGTTGCGGTATTGTCGGGGTTGCGGCAGGTTCGTGCCGTGTCGCCCAGCGGCGACCCCGCTGTTGGCGTGCAGCGATGAACGCCGCGGGCGACCCAGACTCGGTCGGTGTTCAACGATCTGACGGTTCGGAAACGGCCGATCGTTCAAGGTTGAATGATCCAGCGCGGCGTTAGGAACCAATGTCGGAGTCGGCACAACACGAACCTGCTGCAGGGAACGAGATCAGCTTGATGCTCACATCTTCTTATCCCACCACGAGCCGTTGAGAGCGATTGCTACTTCACCCCCCTCTCTCCCCCTGCCCCACCTTTACGCCCCCCGAGGGGCTTGTCGGCTCCCCCCAGGGCGGCCCTATAGCCCCCCACGACAGAGCCAGACGGCCCAGGAGGGCCCCGAGAGGGCCCCAGAGAGGCCCAAAAGAGGCCCGAAGAGTCCAAAAAGAGCCCCCCCAGGCACTTCAAAACTGCATCCAAGAGGCAGAGGCCTTCCAAAATATCAAAACAGACATCCCAAAAGACAACACAGGCGCGGTGGCAGGATAGGCCGAAGGACATTAGATCCGCCGCCCCCTGTTGATTCATCACCAAGGGTGCCTGGCGTGCTAGACCCTTTTGCTTTTGGTTCTGGTTCTTTTCCAAAAGGACTTCCCTTGGGGTTTCGGCCCGTCCCGCTGGAGATGCGTAGCAGGTGGTTGCAAAGGGTTGTTCGGCTCCAGGCGGCTCCAATATGGCCTCCAAGATGGTCAAGATGGCCCAAGATGGCCTCCAAGTTCGTCCAAGATGGTCCAAGATGGCCTCGAAGACGGACCAAGAGCGCCTAAGATACCTTCAAGTTCGCCCAAGAAGCTTCCAAAACGGCCCGAGAAGGCCCAAGAGGCCTCCAAGAGATCCTCCAGGAGGGCACGGAGAGGTCAAATTCATTGATTTTCCGTAGATTCTTGAAGAATTTTGGCATGTGCCTTTGCTCGGCATTCCGACGGCTCAAGACGGCCCGAGAGGCCCCCAAGATCGCTCCAAGATCACCCATGAGGCCTCCAAGATGACCCCATGATGGCCCAAGAGGCTCCCAAGATGGCCCCAAGAGGCCTCCAAGACGGCCAAGATGGCCTCCAAGACAGCTCAGATGGCCCCAAGATGCCTCCAAGACTGCCCAAGATGCACCAAAAACGGCCTAAGATGGCCTCAAGATGGACCAAGATGCCTCCAAGAGGTCCTCCAGGAGGACCCGAAGAGACCAAAATCACTGATTGTCCTAAGGATTTTGAACACTGTTGGCGTTTGCTCTTTTTCTGCATTCCGACGGCTCAAGACGGCCCAAGAGGCCCCCAAGATCGCCCCAAGATCGCCCACGAGGCTTCCAAGATGGCCGCATGACGGCCCAAGAGGCCCGCAAGACGGCCCCATGAGGGCCCCAAGAGGCTTCCGGGACGGCCAAGATGGCCTCCAACACGGTTCAGATGGCCCCAAGATGCCTCCAAGACGACCCAAGGTGCACCCACGACGGCCTAAGATGGCCGCAAGATAAGACGGCCCAAGAGGCCCCCCAAGAGGGTTTGAAGACGGCCCAAGAGGCCTCCACGAGGTCCCCCAGGAGGACCCGAAGAGATCAACATCATTGATTGTCCGAAGGATTTTGAATAATTTTGGCATTTGCTTTTTTTTGTGTATTCCGACGGCTCAAGACGGCCCACGAGGCCCCCAAGATCGCCCACGAGGCCTCCAAGATGGCCGCATGACGGCCCAAGAGGCCCCAAGACGGCCCCAAGAGGGCCCCAAGACGGCCCAAGAGGCCTCCAAGACGTCCAAGATACTCTCACGGCCCTGAAGCGCCCCAGGAGAGCCCCAAGTCGGTTCAGCGAGGCCCCCAAGACGGCTTCCGACGGTGTCAGACGGGTCGGGAACGCCTTGATACGGCCAAAGCCCCCAGGGGACTTGGGGAAGAGGGAGATCATTGCCAACTAGATGTGTTTACTTGCCGCAGGTAGGGCCATAGGAATGTTAGCAGGGCAGCCGTGTGAGACATGGACGGCAGCAAGATATAGAGCAGTGCCAGGCATTACTCACCCACCGCGGCCACTGCGAGAAGCAGAAAGACAGTGGGGAAGAGAGCCTTGAACATCAGAGAGTTTTTGCAGTTGCAAGTAGGTAGCCGTCTGTTGCGCACTACGATACTGTTTGCATAGGGGCCTATCTTTCCCACACCCCCATGGTGATTGAGCACCCTGCCCTTCCAGAGCACCTTCCTGATGCTCCGTGGATTTGGATGTTGCCGGAAGTAAAACACCCTGCCTCGGTGGGGGGAACGCAGGCTGAAATCCTTCGGGTTGACCAGTGCATCTTGCGGGCCCTCAGTTTCAAACCCACCTGTTTAATGGCCATCAGGTGTACAGCTCTAAAGGAGCTGCTCGGATGTGTGCCGAATCAAACCAGATGTGATCGTAGGCATCCACACCGGATCCTGGAGGGGAGGATTGTTGAAGGGAGGTGGAGGACCATGGAGTCGAAGACTTATCCGTCCAAGATGTGCAGGGTCCTGGCTGCTTCATTTTTTGTTGAATTAGACAAGAACCTGATTGCAGGTGGCAGTCAGGAGCATGAGGAAAAAATAGTATTATCAGTTCGATGTGCCGTTAGAGCAATACTTGTCTCGAGAATTAGGGGCGGACTATGCGGGATTCAACGGGCTGGCACCGATGAGATAAATGTTGACCCCTGATGTCTGCGGTCACGTTTCGTCTATTGTCGTCGTCGTTCTCCCCAATGCACTGTGCACTGCCCTTTTTCCTTGGCATGGGCTGCGTCATTGACACTGAGGTCCTACTTCCGACCGACCGACCGAGGAGGAGGAGGTGGGAGAGGAGGGGGAGGAGCAGGAGGAGGAGGGGGAGGAGGAGTAGCGGGCGGAAGATCAGGAGGACGAAGAGGGGGAAGAGGGGGAAGAGGAGGAAGGACACTGCTCTTGTAAGATTATCTTGTTCTCTGATTCTCGATGGTTCGGGGAGGTATGCTGAAAACGAGGAGGGAAGGGGAGCGCAGGATGAAGAGGGCTCGAGAGGAGGAAGGAGGTGAAGTAGGTGAAGGAACGCAAGGAAGGACACACCGAAGAGGTGGGAAGACAGGGAGGAGGAGAAGGAGAAGGAAGAAGAGGAGACGGAGGAGGAGGTGAAGGAACAGGGATCCTTGTTTTAAGGGAGACGCCGACGAGGAAAATGATGAGTATAAGATGATGGAAGAGGGATAACGGGAAGAGGAGGAGGGTAAGGGGACTGCATACCAAGATGTGGAGGATGTTGACAAATAAAATGACGATGATAACGGTGGCGCTCACGATGCTGATGGTAATGGTGGTAATGATGATTGTTGTAATGGTGATGGTGATGGTGACCATGAGCATGACGATGGAGATGAGATGACGGGGATGAGGAAAACAATGGTGACGATGATCGTGGCCCTAGCTAGAACTTGAGCGCGCGCGAAGCGCGCGCGATGGTTCTAGTATGTAGATACATACATTGGAAAGCCGATGTTGCTCCCGAAGTCTGCATCATTTGTTCCTCTCCTCCCCATCCGTCGTGGCCAGGCTGGCTCAGGAACAGTGCCACGAGGCGCTGCGGCTGCGCGCGACCGCGACCTCTGCGGCGGAGATGCGGCCTCAGAGAGCGGTCGCCACCGCCTGGCAAGCGTTCGTCTTTGTCGTGTCCCTCGACACGATCTTCCCCAGCTCGAAGAGCACCGAGCGGCATAGCCACAGACCGTCGGAGGACCGCGCAGATCTCTTTGGTCGGCGCGGGGCTCCCCGTGGCGGCGCGGGACAGACCACTGGATCGCCACGAACTTCAGAACATACCTGCTAGGCTTCGACGATCAAGCTCTCGAAAGCTGCCAGGACAAGCCACCGAAGTGGGTAAGAACACGCCGGCCCAAAGAATCCGTGCGGACTTCCGAAGCTCTGTGTTGATGCCGCTCTGATGCTCTTGCGCCAGCACTTCCGCTAGCCCGACGCCGAGTCCCACCAGTCCCGGGGCGCTCCCGGCGTGCAGGCAGGACGACGCGAGCCGGCGGCGGAGCCCTTTCACCTGCGAGGAGATCAAGGAGAGTGGCTTTTGCGACAAGGTCGGACCCTTGGGAGACGAGGCCCGTCAGACCTGCCAGATGAGCTGCGGAGTGGGATGCCGCGGGCCGTGCGAGGCCGACCAAACAAGCCGACGGCGGTTCCCGCAGAGCTGCAGGGAGATGTTCGACGCGGGGATCTGCGGAACGGACGGTGCCCTGGGGCTGGAGATGGAAGAGACATGCCGCACCACTTGCCACGACGCTCTCGGATGCCTGCCGCCGTGCGAGCCCGACCAGACCAGCCGCCGGCGCTCTCAGAGGAGCTGCCAGCAGATGTTCGACGAGGGCTTCTGCGGCGTGGGCGGCCCTCTGGGGGAGGAGGCGGCAGAGACTTGTCGCAGCACATGCGCCGACACCTTCGAATGCGTGGCCCAGGAGAAACTGGCAGGTACAGACACAAGCGACTCGAACAGCGACGCAAATCTGACAGTCGAGCCACTTCCAGATCAAGATCTGGGACCAGTGGAAGCTTCCTCTTGGCAGCATTCTATTTTCGTGTTCATGGGCGTGATCGCCATCGGCTGTTGTTGTGTCTGCATGTTCGCCAGAGTGTGGAGCAGCCACAAGGATGCGGAGGTTGGCCGGCTGGACCAGGACAGACTGGTCGGGCAGTCCGGCCTCGCTGGCGCCGGCGCAGCAGTTGAGCCAGTTCCGTCGGGGCGGGCAGAGCGAGCGGAGCAGGCCGTGCAGCAGGCCACAGCGCCGGCGGATGTGGCAAAGGTGGGGCCCCTCGAAGGCACCCCAGCAGGCGGTGCCTCCGCTTCACTCGACGCCGTTTTCCTGAGCATTGAGAGTGCGGAAGGTGCCGACGAGCCCGTCTCGGAGCGGATGACAAAGCCGCACAAGAAGACGAGGGTGAAGAAGCCAAGGCGAGCTGCGACCTGGAGCAGAGAAAGGCAATCCCAGACGATGGACCATGACGACGACGCCACCACCCTGACCACTCTCTCCGACTGTTCTGTTCCGAAATGCCCTCAGTGTGCGCAAAGCATGTCGTGGAGCGACTTCAGCGGCCCCCCCTATCACACGAAGTACGGATGGGGGTGCAAAAATATGCGTACGTGCAACAATTGGAAGGAAAATTGTGGAAGCTATAGGTGGAATTGCCGCCAGTGCTCGGAAGACTTGTGCACGCAATGCGGTTTGGCCGCCTGCGCCGCAACGACGCCCACGCTGGTGGGCAAGGCCGTTGAGACCAGCACGCTGGCTGGTGCCCGCATTTCCCTCTCATCGGAACCATCTTTACTCAGTGGGCAGTCGTCTGTAGTACAGCCAGCTCCCCTTGCCAATGCGACAGGCTCTTCCTCCAGACGCCAGGGGCAACCCGAGCAGCAGGAGGCCGTGTCCGTCAACCCTGCCCCGGCGCCCGCGCTGGCGTGCAAGTCTGTCGAGGTTAGCGCGACGGTTGGCGCTCGCACTTCCCTCTCATCGGCAACATCTTGTCTCAGCACAAAATCGTGGTCAGCCCCCCTTGCCAATGCGACAGGCTCTTCCTCCAGACGCCAGGGGCAACCCGAGCAGCAGGAGGCCGTGTCCGTCGACCCTGCCCCGGCGCCCGCGCTGGCGGGCAAGTCTGTCGAGGTCATCGCGACGGCTGGCGCTCGCACTTCCGTCTCATCGGCAGCATCTTGTCTCAGCACGAAGTCGTGGTCAGCCGCCCTTGCCAATGCGACAGGCCCTTCCTCCAGACGCCAGGGGCAACCCGAGCAGCAGGAGGCCGTGTCCACCCCCAGCGCGGGCGCCGGGGAGATTGTCGAAGCCCGCGCGCTGGCCGGCGCCCGCATTTCCGTCACATCGGGGTTTTCTTTTTAGCAGGTAGGATCACAGGAGGTCCGAAAGCAGGTCCCAGTTAGTAGATTTGTTTTTCCGCATAGCTCGCAGAGTTGTGCCACGATCAACCTTGGCAGGAGCCACCAGAGCCCTTGCCGATGTTCCCAGGCGTCCCTCCAGAGGCATGGCCACGATGTAGGACGACGGCTACGAAATTCCCGGCTGGGCCCGTCACGCAGCAGCGCCTTGGGCGGCGATCAAGAAGTCGAGTTCCAAGCCTGCTCGTGTGCGTCGCCCTCGCGATCGATCTTATTTGATCGTCCTTGCAGAATCTCGGCGGCGAGCGAGGGGGGGAAATGAGAAGAAGAAGGCGTTCTCACAAGGCGGCGGGACTTGTTAGAAGCCCTCGCGCCTTCTGATAAGTTTGTTCTTGTTTTCGGGTCAGGCTCAGACAATTTCTCAGAAGACCGGGGGACTTCCGAACCTTCTGAGGAGACCTTTTCCTTCTCACTCCCCCCCTCGTTTGCCGCCGATGTTTGATCGTCATTCCGGAATCTTCCACAGCGGCAGACAACTGTGTTTGAATCGTATTTTTTGTATTTGTGTAGTCGCCAGCTTGCACTACTTTAACGTCACTTGACCAAATTTCCCAGGGACTCCCATCATTCCGCCAAACGCCGAATAATGAGATTTGCCAGGATCTCTTAGAACGTATCAGGGAGGGCACAGTGTGAGTGGTTGACACGGGGAAGTGTGAACAGGAGGACGGAGGACGGTGAGGAAGAGGAGCAAACGGATGAGGGCGAAGCGTGCAGGGATAAGAAAAGGGGAAGGGAGAGGGAGGGAAAGGAAAAGAGGATGAGACTAGCTGAAGGGGGTTAGCGTAAGTAGCGAGGGAGGTCGTGAAGGCCAGCTGAGTTTGTCGAATGACAGCACCAGCTAAACAGACGCCATTGCTAGTGAGCCACGGCGGCCCCCAGATCAGGAACTAGCACGAAAGTTTGTGGAACAGGGGGGCCATTGAGCCATCGCGTTGTTCAGGACTGTGTCCTCGGCGCTCGCGTGCCCAGATAATTGGTGCCATCTTGGAGTGGACATCCTGGATGCCTAGCGGGGCTTGCTCGGAGGTCTTTTCAGCCCTGTCAGAGTTCTCCTCGGGCCGTAGCGGTCCCCAGAGCCCACCCTGGCCTCTGGCTAGACCCGCTTGGGCCGACCCTGGAGCCGACTGGGGAGGCATATCGGCCGCTTGGGGAGCCGATGGCTTGGGACCCCGGAGGTGGTGAACGTGGACGTTCCCAGGCCCCAGAGTCGGGGGCTCCCAAACGGGGTGGTGACCACACCGTGTGGTGAGTCGGTGGGGATTCGGGGTCACCGCACGGTTTTGGGACTCGGGTCGTTCTCCGACGATGTCTCGGGCGATTGGGGCCTCCAGGGTCCCAAAACCGTGTGGTGACGGACCGTGCGGTGAGGTCTTTGCGGATTTCGAGATCACCGCCGGGTCTGTCACCACACGGTTTTGGGACACCCAACAGAGACACAGAGAAATCCACACCCTGGGCGTTTGTTCTTGGGCCCCTTGTAGAACGCAGCCGTGCAGCTCTCGCGCCGCAGACCGCCAGAAGGCCGCCGAAGACCGCCCAGGGCCGACGGGCAACCAGTGGCCCACGTAGTCGACCGCGCATCACATCTGTAAGGAAACAAGACCGGGGAACCCCAGCGCGACCACGTCCAGCACTCGACAGTTTCTTCAACAAGAAGAACTCCAGATTTCGTAATAAAGGGAGGGGGTCTCATTTCGGGGGGGGTCTCTTCCAGGCTATCTTGGAGGGCTTGGGGGGTCTGGGGACGATGTTTTGGAGGGTTCTCCCACGGGGGAGGTCTGAAATGGCTTGTCTTGGAGGGTCCAGACCCCCTCCCTTTTATTACGAAATCTGGAGTAGTCGACCACGCATCACATCTGTAAGGAAACAAGACTGGGGACCCCCAGCGCGGCCACGTCCAGCACTCACCAGTTCCTTCCACAAAAAGTAAAGCCCTCCTCACCCTCCCCTTGCGTGCCTTGTCCGTGCATCATTTCACGGCTGGCACGCGCACCCTTCTGAAGCCCCCGAGATTGCACCGGTGCAAACCAGCCGGGGCCCCAGACTGCAGCTGGGCGGCTTGACCGGTGTAGTCGGCGTGGGCGGTGTGCGTTGGAGAAAGAACTCTCAGGCAAAGTTTTCTCAGGAAAACATTAACCGGACGCGACCCCAGGTAGGAGAAAGCATCGTATTGCATGGGCGCAGTCTTTGGCTTTGCCTCGGCGTTGCTGGGCCTTTCGTTTGCGCACTGCTTGGCGCATTGCCTGGCGCACTTCGTGGCGCACTGCTTGGCATTGCTTGGCGCACTGCTTGGGATTGCGTAGCATTGCTGCGCATGTATTGGCGTTGCTTTGCACGGAGTTACGTTGCTTGACATTCCTTCGCAATGCTAGGGAACCCGAGGAACCGACTGGCTGGGGAACCCTGAGAGCCCATGCAAGGAAAAAGGCTGGGAAACCTTAGAAATCTGTGGAACAAGACCGGGGAATTTGAGCAACCAAACCATGAGGATCCGAAAACCACTAACGTTGACGTACCCTGGTGAATATCATTGATGTTGAACTGTTGAACCCAAGCGCCTTTGAAAATTAAGAGTTTTGTCCGCTTAGTTTGAGAGGACGGTCATATAATTCTTGAGGTTCGTTCATCCGCATGATACATGTTACATATATTAGGTTAGCGTTGTCAGAGGCCGTGGCATGAGCTTCTCGTCTTTAGCCGCCGTCGTTCGCTCGTAGATGTCGTAGTCGTGATCAGTGCTCGCCGCCGTCGTCGCAACAAACTGTCGCTGTACGTTCACCGCGAGCATCGCGCGCGCATTCTCGACCAAGTGGCTGGCGCCGCCCTCGTCGCCGCCACCGTCGTCCACAGCGGAGCACTCGACGGGGACGACGACGAGGGCGAGAACGACGACGGTGACGACGTCGACGACGGCGACCGCGACAACGAGGAAATCGACGGTGATGACGACGAGAACGACGACGACGACGACGTCGACGGTGATGACGACGAGGACGACGACAACGATGGCGACGAGGGCGACGACCGCGACAAGGACTGGGACGACGACGACGACGACGACAACGAGGATGACGATTACGATGACGACGGAAATGACGACGGCGACAGCAGCGAATGCGGTAGCGGCGACGGGGTCAATGAGGAGAACGAGGACGACGACGGCGGCGACAACAGTGGCAAGGGCGACGAGGGCAACGACGGCGACGCCGGCGGCGTTGACGACGACGGCAACGACGAAAACGGCGGCGACGACGGCGACAACGGCAACGACCACGTAGGTGACGACGGCGACGGCGACAACGCAGGCGATGACGACGGCGACGACCGACGAAGATGACGACGACGACAACGCGGGCGACGAGGGCGGCGACGGCGGCGGCGACGACGAGGACGACGTCGACGATGACGTTCTCGATGAAGACGACGACGGCACCAATGCCGACAACGGCGACGACGAGGACGACAACAGCGACGCCGACCATGGCGACGGCGTCGACGACGGCGACGACGCCGCCGGCGATGATGGCAGGGACGCAGACGACCAGGACCTTGGCGACGACCGCGACGACGGCAGCAGCCTCCACGACAATGTTGACACTGAGGCACAGCTCGAACCAATGGTTGTTTAAAACTGAGTTGCGCTTAAAACTAAACACGAAATGAACTTCAATGTTAAAAACGAGCCTTTAAAAAGGTACAGGTGCCAAGCGAACGCGAAAACGAGAAGGTGCTTCCATGTAGCAAGACAAAGCGAAAAACGATATTATCTTCGTAGACCGCGCTTAACTTGAGAGTCCAATCGACCACTGCTAAGGGCACTCTTCTACTTTCCAGGCAAGGATGTTGACTGCTCAATCTTGGACGGTTCGGGGGAAAAACATATCGACTAGGAATTCCAATCCGTTGCCGCTAAAGTCTCACTCTAGTTTCTAGGCCACCACGGCGATGTTTTTACGGGAGCGCGCACGCGCGTATACGTTGCACCAGCTGGTTTGTGAAAGCCACAAAACCTAAACGTCCGCCGCTACTGGTTCACTTCAACTGCCAGGCCAAAGTAGCGACTTCTCATGTGTGTGATTAAGAACTCTCCACTCGGGCGCGCGCGTACGCACGAAGTACGCCTCACCAGCTTGTTGATATGTGAAAATAATATCAATTTTGAAATCCAGCTAGTCGACAGTAAGGGTTCACTTCATGCTCCAGGCCAGCAAGGCGACTTGTGTATTGCCGACAATACGTAACTCCACGAGGCCGCAGGCAGACGTATTCGCGTCGTGTGTTGGATTGAAAAGAAAACCATTGTTGCCTTCGAAATCCACTTCCTGACGAACATGGCGACTTGCCTGCTGTCTCCAGCACAGAACTCTGCACGCGCGCGCGGGTCGCACGTGTCCTGTCGTCGCGCGCGTCCCCGAGGGCGCGAGCGCATGGACAGTCTTGTATTGTCTGCAGCAGGAACTGTACACACAAACCATGTTCGCTTTTGGAAACCCGATCGGTCGCAGCTAAGGGTCCTGTTAGGTTCCAGGCCAAGATGGCGACGTATGTGCATTGTGGACAAGTCAGGGCTCACGACACGCGCGGGCGACGCGTGTCACGCGCGCGCTCGCGCCAACAGTAAAGAGCATGCTCAACATAGAAACGCGTAAGGAATTATGGTAACCGCTAAGGTTTCAGTTAGTTCCCAATTCAACACTGCTACTCTTTCATCGATGACAGTACGGAGTTCCTCACACGCGATCGCGCGCGGGTGATGCGCGCCACTCTCGCGGGTGGGGGGTCCTTTATTGCCCGCAAAAGAGAGAATGCAACAAAACGCGATGTCAATTTGTAGCTCAGATTAACCACCGTTGAGGGTTCGCTTTAAGTTTCCAGGTCAGCCAGGCCTTCCTGGACAAGACATAACTCTCCACGCGCGCGCGGGCAGCGCGACACTTGTCA